GATTCCAAACCGGCGTCTGCGTTTCTGGTGATGCAGTGACGACGGAGTGACGACAGATATGGTCACTTCCTGTTCACTGGTTGCAGAAAAAACAAGATGGCGACGGCCAAATCAGCTGTTTCAATTGATCTCTTTTCACCTGTTGCAGTTTGCTTCAGTCCGTCTGTCTGAACGGGCCTTTAAATCAAATCCTTACTGTTCCTCAAAGCTACCAAACAAATCCTCGTCTTTAACTGCTCATAATTTTGTATAAAGTTACTTCTTTGTATATATTTTTTTGGGATAGAATCATAAATACTGACGGAGTGCGTTGGTGTGAACTCACAGTAGATATCTACGCTTTATATTTTCTTTACTTTACCTCGTTTGATTTTCCTGCACACAAACGTGCACTCGCAATCGAAGCATTCTCACCAACCGTGGCTTACACACACACACACACATCTTGCACATACTGGGCAATACGCACACTGACCAGAGAAACAGACGCACACAAGCGGCTGTAAACGCACACATTTAGCAGCAATATGAAATAACGTTGTGCTGTTCGTCTACTTTCTGTCAGTCGGTGTGTGTGTCCGTCTTTTCAACTGTAGTTTCACTTGTAGTTCTCAGAAATGGAATACAATATTAATATTTCTTTAGTGTATAAATTACCTGAAGATAATAATTGTTGTGTTTTCGTTATTGTTAAATCAAGTTTTCTCGTTGCCCATCGTAGTTCTCCCACATGTTCGAACACTCGGGAGGAGTTTCAGTTGGTTGCAATCTGCAGCTTCACCACTAGATGGCGCCAGATTCTACACACTGCTCCTTTAAGTGTCAAACGAAACGCTAATCATCCAAAGTCAGCGCTGTCATTTCAGCTTATCGGTCAACAGTGCGAATTTGCAGAAATGTTACTCTCCTTGAAAAATGACTGCAGATTTTATCCTTTCATACAATCTTTCTCCAAAATGAAACTACTTTATATGCTACCTTTCTTTACTTTTTGTTTTCTGGCTGAGATAAATCAAGGAATGCAGCTTCAGAATGAAACAAGGGTGAGATTAATGTTATTTTTCAAGGCAGGTTGATTGTTTCTGCTTTTGTTACATTAGTTGTATTCTGTTACACAACGTACATTCAGCAACATACATGAAGAGGAGTTTATTAAGTCTTTATTTATGTACTTAAAAAAATTTTAAGCACAAATCCATTATCTCCAATCACCAAAAGTAAAAGGACGTACCTTTTATTTCACAACCTGTTCACATTTGGCTTTGAGTTGTTTAATTTCAAATTATTTATACAATATATTAACACAATGATTATTTAATACATCTATATCACTTAAAGGTACACTGGTTTTATTCCAGGTGGATTTTGGGCTTGAATGGATGAAAAAAACAGCTTTCCTCCAATATTACATTTTATTTTATTACTAAGTTTTAATATTCAGCTCCAAACAACAAATAAATTGCAAAGTTGCAACTGGAATAAAAGAGTGGTAACAATAATGAATGTATCAACCTAAAGACCAAATTATACGTGTGTCTCGCTCTACGTGTCTTTTGTTTTTCCTCGTGTATTTTTGTGCCTTTATATCGTGAGATTTTTGTTTTGTGTGCTTGTGTGATCGGAAACTCGCGAACAACTTAACTCACCAAGTGCAGTAAATATTCAGGAGTCGACAACAGTTTAACTGAAGAGACCAGAGTCGTCTATATAAAAGAGTTGTGGCAATAAACGTGGCTAACGCTAGAAAACTGCCGGTGGCTAATGTTGCTAATGAAACAAGCTTTTGCTTCTGGAAGAACAAAAGTGAACTCAGTGAATATTATAAATAAAGCAACAATTGTTAATGTTATCAGTTTTGCTACGATTGATCCATCAAATTGTGGTGTTTTAGCATCGCACCGCTAGCTTATGCTACAGTATTAGCATGATGCCTGTTAGGCTAGTAAATTGTACCTACTAACGTGGTATGTATTAAATTATTAGCATCATCACTCAACATTACTCTGAGAAATAAGGGTTCCAACCAGGAGGGCTGAGGTTCTATCCAGAACTATTTGCTTCTGAAGATGCCTTTTTAGAAGAAAGAGTTTTTAAAGGGGTTCTTTGTGAGATTAAGACTTCCACTAAGAACCTTCTTCATCCAAAGAACCCTTGGAACTAAAGTGGTTGTCGGTAGAACCTCCTGGGTGGGTTTACAGTGAAACCCCTGGTATATGAAGTCTTCTTAGTAGAACCCCCTGGGTGAGTTTTAGAGGAAACACTTGGAATATGAGATGGTTCTCGGTAGAACCCCCTGTATGAGTGCTAGATTAAACCCTTGGAATATAAAATGGTTCTTAGTAGAACCTCCTGGTGGGTTCTTGTTTGCAGCCTTAGAAGGTGCAAAAGGTTCTGGATAAAAACCCCAGGGAGGGGTTTTGGGGGGAACCATTTAACCATAAGAGGGTCCTCTGTAGATCCTCTCATCTCTGGGTGAAACCTTTCACAGATGGTTCTAGGTATAACCCTTTATGTCGGGTTCTAGGTAGAACCCTCTGAAAGGGTTCCTTGTGGAACCTTTATAAAAGTTTCTACCAGGAACCAAAAAGAGATTCTCCAATGAGGATAAGCTGAAGAACCCTCTGTGGTTCTAGTTAGTAGCTTTATTTCTAAGAGTGTGCTAATATTGAGTCAGAGCTAAACGTGTGTTTTTCTGAAGAACAAATATCTTTTAACAATATTTATTACGGTTCTGAAGGTACTTCCAGAATCCTTGAATGACTTAAAATACATTTATTTACATGTTCCCTTTTCCAAACATATTAATATATCTCATTAATGTCACGATGAAGAATCTAACATCCTTCTCATTGTCACAGCCTCTCTCTATTGAAGGCTTTGGTTCAGTTTGTCATGTCAGCGCTTCTTTGTGTCTCTGTGTGTTTAAACTGTAATTGTTAATCAGGTTTTCTATATGATGCATGTTATATATTATATTTAATGTTTTTCTTTCTAGCGTTATGACCAAATATATGCGGTTATAGATGATGATCCATGTGGTGCAATAAAATGACAATGGAAAACTAATTGTTTATTTCTGTTTGTGTCTCTTCGTGTGTCTTTAGACTTTATTATACATACCCCAGGTGAATAGGGTTCTAAGATTTAAACAAATCGATATCACCATGAAACTTCCTCAGCTGACTACTTACATCAAGACAATTATTTTTTATATTGAAAGATTTCTGAAACATTAAGTTTAAATATGCAAATGAGTCATTAACTTATTAGATATGTGGTCATTTGCATACATTTCCAGAACATAAATCTGAACTTTGAATGAAGTCAGGTTCAAAATTATTGTTTCATTTTGTTGACATATTAGAGTCAAAGATGTTTACAAGTTGTCACTCCATAAATACCAACAACAGACATAAAAAAGCAATTTAATGCATGGGCTCTGTCTGCTGTGTGTAGATCTAATAATGTACAGTTAATCAAATATTTTACATATTTCTGTTATCAAAAAACGCGGTTTGTACCTGCTTCATTACGAAGTTGCTTTGAATTATTGCTACTGTTATTAATGTTGGTTAATCTGAATAAAACGAATAAACAAACAACACACACACACACAGTCTGTACCTCGTATTGATTCATCTTACTGATCATGTGTGTGTAGCGGGAGGGTTGGGTTATGTTTGTGGTTGTGTGTACATGCAGGAAAACCTAGAATTCTGACTGCCTCACAGATAAGTACACAATGATTTTGAAACTTTCTTTTTTATTGATACAGTGTTGAACATTAACTTATTTGTACCTCCATCCATTTATTCTGTCCCGGCATGCACAGTGCACTTCCCAGCAGACATTTTGACTTGTCATAGTAGGAAAAGCACAGGTGTTATTACGAAAGTTATTGATGTCTCTGCTTTATTAAACATCCATGTCCCCATAAACCATGACAGTGTGACAGTGAGCCAGCATGTGCATGAGCAGCACATGTCAAAATGTCTCCTGTGAAAAAAGGGTGCTAAAACATTGGAGTCTCCAATTCATCTGACCTGCTTTTTGTCGAGCCTATAGAATGAAACACACACAGCCAGCCAGGTCAGGTTCAGACCACGACCTTTTGTACTGAGCCACCATGCCGCCCACATATTTAGGTTTATGTGGTTACTGGAATACGGGGCTTTTCCACATGCACAATAACAACCCCTCCCCCAAATCTTTAGTAACTTATATCCCAGTGAAGTACATGATCAGTCAGCCAAATCAATCTGGAATCTGCATGTTTGTGTCCACATTCACAAGCTAATGAATGATTGATTGATGACACCATCAGTGGACAGAAGAGATATCTGACTGTCAGTCACATTGCTCCCTGACCGACAGAAGAACTGCCTCTCCTTCTCCTTCTGTTTCTTCACTGTCACATATATTGTATTATATATTCTGAGTCATTTATTATTTTTTCCATTTTTGAGCACAGGAAGAAAAAGAGGGGAAACATTTTGTTAGAAACTGAACTGTGGAGGAAACCAGACTGCTGATGTTTGTCAAGATGAGATCAGCTGGACTTTCTGTTCTCTTGGTGTTTCTTTTGATCTTGATCAGTCGCTCTGAAATGGTGAGTTGAGAAATGCTGACTTGCTTTTAAGTGTTCGAAAATATTCCATCACTTTCTCTTTCTGTATTTGTGCAACTTTTACTTGTTTTTATGACTTGCATTATGAAGGACTTTCGACCATGTATTTCTGTTTGATGTTATTAAGCGCAGGGTAAAGGTGGTGTGTAGAATAGTGTTGTATTGAATGGTTATATTTGAGATTGGCTACAGTATACATATAGTGTATAATACAGTTTAATATACATGATTATGTATTATGTATAGCTGTAGCTATGATAGAGTATATTTAGTTTAACAGAGTGCTGACTACCACGTCACATTTAGGTAAACTATGTGGTAGAAGTATTATGATAATGGGAGTAATTTAATAGCTTACAGTAAGTTGTGCTCAAGTCACGTCACTTTGGTCAAAGACAAGTTGACCAAAATACTTGAACGAAAGATAAAACAACTGCTGCATTCAACAAGCAACAAGTACTTGTCCTTTGACTGAGATATAAATATGTGTATCATCTGCGTAACACTTTAGCTCGATGATGAGCATAACCATATCCTGTTCTAAGTTGTTTTCTGTGTCAAATTATCAAATTATAACGATCCAACACCCACGGAGCAGGTGACACACAACCAAGAGAAACAAACAACAACAACCCCACCCACAACCCCTGTGGTTACCAGCCCGGCCCCCACAACCCCTGTGGTTACCAGCCCGGCCCCCACAACCCCTCTGGTTACCAGCCCGGCCCCCACAACCCCTGAAACACCCAAGGAAGACGAGTTTCTGGGTCCACTTGAGTGTCTGAAAAAGAAGTAAGTGTTTTTTTGATTGGCTGGGCTTCTTCCTTTAGTTGTTGAATTTTGTTTTTTGTTCGTTCCTATGGTCTGTTATGTTTGTATTTTCCCTTTTGCATTCATACATTCTTTCTGATTGAGTCACATGTCTGGTCCCAAGGCTAGTCTTAAGCTACTGACCCTCAACCTCTAGGTCGCAGAAACACTGAGCCAACCACTACGGTTACTTTGTTCTTTGAGCTCCGAGTGCAGCTTGCAAGGTCCTTCACAAAGGAAGGGAAGCAAAGGGAATGTGACATTCAGGATAAAATACAACGAGAAATGAATGTAATAGAATAATGTGGGATGAATCTGTGTTTGTGGTTAATGCGATCTATCTTTCAAAACATGTATCAGGTTTACTCGTGGATCTTGTGACTTGGTGTTTTGTCGTCCATGGGAGCGTTGCATCGATGGACATTGCTCCTGTAAACCCCCGTACCTGTGTCCCGCGGAGGGAGTGCATCCGGTTTGTGGGCTGAACAATAGAAACTACCGCTCCTACTGCCAGGTAACTTATGCGTAAGGATAGATATCGACAGCTATGCTGTACATATATATAGTTTTATAGTTTTGTCAAACATCAGAACCATGTGAAACGGTGGTAATCTGTTTTCCAGGTGATGGCTCTGTCATGTTACAAGAACAGACCCGCCATGTCCCACTTTGGGGGGAATTGCGAAGGTTAGTTCTCAAAGATACATTCAGTGCCTTGTAGTATGTTCAGATAACAACATGTTATATCCCTACTTATAGTTAATGTTTCCTTAATCTCTCTCTGTCACCACAGCGGATCAGCCGAAGTTCACGAGTACAATAGACCCAGAGACAGGAGTGGTCAAGATCTTCATACCAGACCCCGTGAGCCCTGAAGGTGTTAAAGAGTTACTGGTATGCTGGAAGATTTGGAACATGGCGGCTGCCAACGTGGCCTGCAAGAACGGCGGGAATCCACTGTGAGAGGACATATGGTTATATAATATAAATATATATATACATTTACATCAGCTGCTAGCCTACAGTAGCTTCATCAAATGAGAAATATTTGTTCCATGAACTCATTTTGACGGTGATGTCCCTAAAGCGTGACTTTTGTGTGTTCCTACAGTGGTGCAGTAACTGCTGATTCCAGGCTTTACTCTTCCCTGACAACCGACCACGACAACAAGTTCCCAAAACAGTGTGTTAGCGTCCGCTGCCAAGGTTACGAGACGTCCCTAGCCGAGTGTGAAATCTACGACAAGACCAATATTGGCAAAAGGAAGGTCGCTACGGCCACCTGTCATACGTCATCACTAGCACCGGGAGGTCAGTTTGGTTTTTGAACTGATTCTATTCTATTCTTTTCTATTGTTGCCTTGTGTTTAACAAAGATCCACATTAACAACACACTGTTAGGGGACTCATGACTGTTTACAACAAGTTTACAGCTGTGACATTCAGAGATGTTAGAAGATTAGAAGGGTTTTTATTCTGTCATTGTACGACAGGGTTGCACAACGCAATTTAGATTGTGGTCCCAACAGGAAAGAAAACAAACAGCAACAAACAGAAAAACTGTATTATATATACGGAGGGTGGAGGATGAGTGAAGGAGTCTCACAGCCAGAGGAAAGCAGCTTTGAAGTCTGGTGATACGGCAGCTGATACTTCTATATCTCTTTATACAGTATATGTATATTCCTTTGACCTTTTGTCCAGGGACACACACGGTCTTTGACTTTGACAAAATTCAAACAAAATGAACTGTGAGGTATCCAAAAGACGAGTGTATCTCGAAACTCGTAGATCTGCCCACAGACTGAATACACCATAAACCAACCTCCACTATAGAGAGAAGGGATTATAATTATCTTTATTACCTTTATACAAACCCTGTAAAGAAAGAAGTCAAGTATGAAATGTATTAAAAGGAAACAAAGGTTGAATATCCTGTAAGCTACATGAATTGGCTGCTAAATATTTACTCAAATGAAGATTTTTAAGACTTCCTGTTTCTAAAGCATTTAAAAGAGAATTGTCATTGATCCCTAAACATGTAAACATTGTTATATCAGTGAACTATTTGTGACAATCACGTTACAAGTTACTAAGACAACGAAGCTCCGCGAATACATGCGGAGTCGGCCGTAATTATGTCATTTTCTGGCTTGCGCGCCTCACGCCGGCTTTACTACGGTGAGTATAAACTCAGCTTAAAAGTGCACAGACACAAAACCTATGACGGCATATATATATATATATATATATATATATA